TGTAATTATGTACTCAGAGGTGGGTAGAGTAGCCAAATATTGTACTCAAGTAAGAGTATTGTTGCTTTAAAACAATATAACTCAAGTAAAAGTAAAAAGTATTTTGCATTAAAACTACTCTGAAAAGTACAATTTATCCAAAAAGTTACTCAAGTAAATGTAACTGAGTAAATGTAACTAGTTACTACCCACCTCTGACCACAAGTTAGGACTAAAACACACGGGGAGGCTGCATTCAGCCATTATGGCCCTCACTTATGGAACAGCCTGCCGGAGAATATCAGAGCTGCAGAGACTGTTGATGTTTTTAAAAAGAGGCTCAAGACTCATCTTTTCAATCAGGTTTTTAACTGATCTCTTTATTTATCTATTTTAAATTCCTTTTATCAGGCTTTTAAGCGATTTATCTATTTGTTTTGTTTTTTAAAAAAAATGCTCTTACCCTTCCTCTTTTTACATTCTTATCTCATTTAATCTTTATCTTTTGTTATTTTAGTTACAGGTTTTAGTTTTGATGCAATTTATGTCTCTGTTTTAGATCATTCTTACCTAGCTATTAACTTAATTTTATGAGCTAAATACCTTTTTGTTTATTTGGTTCATTTTATACCTTTTATCCTATCCTACTGTTTTGGTCCCTCAGTTTTTAGCTCCAGTGTTTCATCATGGGGGCCTACCACACTGAGAGTTGTTCCTGGTCTACCAATGGGGGTGCCGTCCCGTGTACAGCTCTGACCAGAGGTAGTTGGCTATGATTACGAGAGTCCTGAGAGAGGTAGACCAGAGGACCACGTCTGGCCATATGGACTTGTAGTGATCTTGGGAATTTCGGCCGTTCATCCAGCTCGACCCTCAAGATTTATCCACATCTAGTTGACAGGATGGACCATTCTTTCTGTGTAATGTTCTGTGTTCCACCTCATTGACTGATGAAATGGATTTGTAGTTGTGATGTTGAGGAGCTGGCCTTATTTAATTCTAGTCTGTGTGCTAATCAGACCTCTGCCAACTTTTGCAGGACCTGATCGTAGCATCAGCTGTACTGGCCCTGGGTCAGTGGAGTGAATATGTTTCAAGCTTGGTTTTTGGGCATCGCAAAGATGGCAATTCACATTTCTGGGACTTGGGAAGCTACTGTATGTAGAGCTGATGAGTGAGCTCAATCTTGCTTGTGGGATCCTGAACATAATGTCTCAAGTTGAAGCCCTGTTGGTGACTGCCTCCCAAGTTGTCCAGCTCCCTTGTTGCTGTGCATCTCTTCCTCCATGTGGGTCACTTCTTCATCGCCCTGCCACTCTGCACAGAAGAATTTCTCAGCTCAAACATGAACCTAACTTCTCCTGCCTGTGGCCGAGGTGGATTGATTTCAGTGGCAGCTGGAGTGTGTATTTTTTTAAAAAGGGTCATGTTGGAGAGGTACAGAGTGCCACTGTTGAGGTGACATTGCACAGTTTCAGCTGCTGCATTAGGCATTAGTGTAAGCACCAAGCATCAATTTCCCTGGGAGGTAGTTATGGCTGATCGTCCTCAGTAATGTAATGAAAAGTNTTGAATAAAGTTTGAACCCAGTTTTACTATGAATTCTTCAATAGTGAACAAGAAAATAAAGCTTTACTTATACAACATTTTAAAAACACAGCTACAAAGTGCTTCATACACACACACACACACACACACACACACACACACACACACACACGAAAAATAAAAAGTAAAAAAATCAAGTAAACATTATGAGACATAAGATTGTGTAACACAGTGGTCTTTGTCTTCTTCGTCTTACCTTTCAGTCCCAAGTTGAAGGGCAAAAAACTCCACCTCTCCATCATCCTCCTGTTCATCTCCATCTCCATTAAAACCTCCCTTGTCACCTCCACAGACTGTTGGCCATCGATCTCCACCATCAGCTTCAACATGCCAACTCTGCTTGCCCTCTCCATTCTCTGTGTGGAGATTTCAGGGAGGCCTTTCTTCATTCTAGTGTGCAGTAGGACACACTTGAAGTCCCCGAGCTCCCCCTGACTTAAATCTTCCAGTGTTTCCAAAAGCTTCTCCATTAGTAGTGTCATGGTGACTTCCTGATGGACAAAAAGTAGTTAGAGGACATTTTTGTCATATCTCCACTGTAGTAATAATACATTAATTTATTTGTAACAACTAATATTAACCACATTAGGCAAAATGATAAATTGACTCTAAAAACAAAGAACTTCCACATGTGTTCATTTCTGTAGCTTCATCACAATACAGTGGCCCTCATTTATGAAATGAATGTATGAGAGAAAACTAGGCATACAGTCATTTCCACGCAAAACATATTGATCAGCGTGGATGTGAGTGGAGGCTATGATCAAATCTCGCATCACGTCTCAACTCGTGCACAAGGTTGTGTCAGTGTGGACTAATGGTACAGCAGAGTAAATCTGGCTGAGTTGGATAATTGTAATTAGACCATATTCTGACAGGCATATTAAGTAGGTCTTCAACCTCTCAATGTTATTTACAACAGTCTTTGCAGATTTATTTTAAGGTGCCCATATCGAACACGTCACTGCTTTATGTATGAATCTTTAAACTGGTTACCCCTTAATGCAAGAAGATACTACCATTGGCTCCAATTCATTTTCAAATGTACT